CGTCTGATTGGTCAGTTGTTTGCAGCCAGGGAAACCTCAATAGGCACTCACAACAGAAGTTTAGAATCAGGCATGTAGGCAACAATGCAGTGAAACTGGAACCAAGCTGAAGTACTGCAAACTAGCACTGTCACTTTATCAAAAACAAATAAGAACAAACATAATGCATTCAAATGAATTTGAATATCAAACTTAACTTGAGACTTGACGGCAGAAAGAAGATTGTATTGGATGACCCAGAAATATTGAAAAATGAGTAAGAAATGTTATTTCCTGCTGGTTATCAAGAGAAGATCCTTTTTATTTTTGTTAAATATTTCATGTGATCTACCAGCTGACTCCCTTACATCAATCAGCTGATCCATCAGTTGATTGGGCTGCTTGAGATCAGTTGAGGTAGCTGGTATGTGAGCTGAGCTTTACATCGTGTCCTGCCTGAACTAATGCTACGCTCAGTGTCAGTCAATGACTGTTGACTTAATCTTAGTATTTGGTTTGTCCGTCTTTTCCTTTAATGACAGCATACACTCGAGCTGGCACCGACAAGTTGATGACCCAAATTATCCCAGCATGATTTGACAATGTTCCATCAAGCTTCTTGTGATGTCACAGAATGTTGGACTTTCTCGGTCTTCAGTTGCCAACATAAATGTCAATGGGTTTGAAGTCAGGTGACTGTTCTTCATTTTCTTCATGGTAAATGGAATGGATTTCTAGTCTTCTGAACACTCAAAATGTTTTAACACTACATACCACATAATCCCATCCACACACGTGCATACACTAGTGCCCAGTAGGGTTGGGCCAGTGTAAACATTTTTAAACTGGTTTGATATAGGAGTGTAATGATACATTGATCCACATCGATACATCGATTCATTAATTAACGATGTGATTATATCGATGCAAAATGAAAACATCGATCCATATCATCATCTTAAAGATACACTTTTATTTTGAAATTCACATAGCACGTCTGTGTCACCATTTCTGGGCAAGCGCGCCTCCCCTCAAACAACAAACAGAGCTCAGAAATAAAATGGTCAAATCATATTCTAGTTGTTTTTGTGAGTTGATGTCAATGATTGTGTTAGATGGTGTTAGATGATATCGCGTCATATCGATTGCAGGCTCCTGAATTGAATTGAATCAAAATCGTATCGTGACAGACTTTGTGATATCGGCAAACATCGTATCGTCATCCAAACAAATCGATATAATATCGTATCGTGATGAAGCTGGTGATTTACACCCCTAGTTTGATATTACTTCTGGTAAACTATATTTTACCAATGTTGCAATTGACTCAGCAGCCGCTCCTGAGTGGAACATAATGACACTGTTTCCTAAAAGAAATGAGTGTCCAACTATCGTTTGCATAATGGCTTATGTGGATCAATAACCATGCCATGGTCATCTTCCTCAAATGCAAAGTATTTCCAGACATGACTTTTGGTGCCTTTTTTTTTCCCGATAAGATGGGCCGGAGCGCTTGCTTCGGCCATCCTTTCGTGTGTAGGTATGCCATGTGTAGTTCTACTTCCTCGTCACCCCCTCACTTTGAATGTAGGCATGGACTGTAACGCTATATGCTGTATACTGCCCCCATCAGTTCTGTAAGAGTCATAGCACCGATTCTTATGCTGATATAGGTTCTTCCGGTTTTTGAAAAAAATGAGTGTTGCCGTTTTGTTTTGTTTTTTTCATCATGGAATTGAAAGGTAACGCGAGTATCGGTTCTCATGACATCACTAATGTCACAGTGATAAATTCCAGTTCAGCTGGTTTGCATAAAATCACAGCGGTTTAAGCTTTCACACCGGACCAGACCAGCAAAACCAGACAATGACCTACCTCTAGTGGTGGCCAGTGGTGGCACTTCGACATGTGGACTGGAGGAGTCAGGGATCGTGGACGACCCGCTCTACCTCCTTTGTCAAAGAGCGAAGTAGTTCTTGCAAAGTGTTTAGAAACCTTTAGTCTTGCCATGATTTGATGCTGAGAAGCCCCTCTTTGTTAAGAATAACAGTCTGACTCCTGACACTCAGCTCTGCTGCCATGTTTCCCCACTATCACAATGCTACTTAGTGAGCAAGGATTTGCTGGAATCTTGAGGCTCAGCCTTATTTATCACAGGTAAACATTGGCTGCAAGTTGAGTTACTTGAATGAGCCTCAGATGAGTAGATCAAACCCACCTGAGTGTCATCTGAGTGCATGCTTTAATGGAGGAGATACAGCTCATGAAAATCTGACCTTTTGTCTAGAGTTGGTCAGTGCCACACATTTGCTGAAATTAGATTGCTGATCTTAAAAATTGTGTAGGATCTGAAATATTTCCACTTCATTTTACATGTCATAACTTTTTTTAACCATTTTTTGATCATTTACAGGTTTACGTGAAAATATTAGAGATTTTAAATGTGGCCTCAGACTTTTATGCCCACTGTATATCATCTGTCTATTTCTGGGTAACAAGGAAACAACTTTATTAGGTTTGAGAGAAAATTGCTCTGTATTCTTGACATAAAAAGTGATGAATCATTATCAGCTTCTGTAGTAAACAGCTGAGGTTCTTACATTATTTAACTTCCTCTTTTCTTTGCCTCCAGCATTCAGGAAGCAGTTTGCATTGGACATCTCAATCGAATGGAAGACTACAGTGAAGCCGATCCACGAGGACCCACTGTCTTCAAACAAACCTTTGAAGAGCCCCCTGCCAACACCCCTGCAACCTCCGCGACACACCCTGAACTCTCGACAGCCCTCAGCTCCGCCTCCTCGCCAGGCCTGCCCTTCATCTGCCCCCCAGGGTTTCTGCAAAGCAGTGGGAGGACCCACTACACCCCAGCAGCCCCCTGATTCTACCTCCTCAACCTCCTCCTCTTCCCACCAGGGGCATCTCGCATCTACAGCCTACTCATTATCCTCCCCTGTGATGCTCCTCCGTAGGCTATGCGAGGCGACTGGTTTTGGCCAGCCACTCTATGAGTTACAGCCCTACCATGCTGGGCCTGATGGATTCCTCTACTTTACCTATAAGGTGCATATCCCTGGGAGAACCTCGGCCTTCAAAGGGGTGGTTATGATCTTGCCGGGAAACGGTGCCAACAACATTCTGGATGACGCCCAGCGAGCTGCAGCCCAGCAGATTCTGCAGAAGGTGTACAATAACCAGCTCGCCCACTGACAAGCTCATCAGTTAGCAAAACAGAACACAAACATCGCAGCACTGTTTGTTTTGTAAATGATGTTATGTCCAAAAAAAGATGTTTGATCTTGTATGTAGTTTTGGTGATTTTGCATGCTTTTATTATAGTAGCAGACTTGTTTGTCTTGTTTGAACTTCTGTGCTTTGTTTTATGCATGTTTTTTAGTGTGTGTTACTGTTGGATTGGTTCCTCATTTTAATTAAATGAGATTTGAAAAGAAAATGTGATGGTGGTGTTACTTAATAGAAATGTATGGATGAATGAAAACCTGTAAAAATAATTAGTGACAATTTATGCCAGAGATATACTTGTTTTTAACTTTGCGTTTGTGTGCACATGATGGCTGCCTCGCGTATCCTGCCTCCATTTGGAGCATTAATGGTGCACGTCCTTAGAATTTAATGCTACATGTAAGCAAGATGCAGTAAGCACATGAATGGTAGGGGGATTTAAACATACTCACCACTGTGACAATGTGCTTGATTTAGGGGCCTCATCTCATTTGAGATGGCGCCACTATATCTTTTTCTGCCGTGATCTCAGAATTAACAATACTAGTCCATACCCACTGAGTACAGCATACATTACCATCACTTAAGTCATACCAAAAATTAGAAAAAAAACCCCAAACATTCGGCCACGGGGGGAGCCACAGCAATCGGTTGGTTCACCAAGTTTCATGCAGATCAGTCATACTTCCTAGGAAGAGATCGATTTTAAGTTTGTAAGTGTTTTTCAAAAATCTTGTGGATGTTGCAGCTCTGCAATATAGCTGAATCAAATTAAATCATATCCATTTTAATCTCTTCATGCGATGCACTGAACACTTCATTTTCTGTTGTACTACGGACAACAATTCGGAGAACAGCAATTCCGGTGTAGGCGGGTGTAAGGCAAAGCTAATCAGCCGTTGGTTGAGGAAGTACGGAAGTACACAGATTTGGATCCAATCACATCACTATGGGAATGTCCACACCAGAGTGATAGATAACCCTCCATAGATCAAAAAATCATAACAGAAAGAGTCATCATTGATCTTGTCTGCACTTTAAGGTGTCCTGTCAACTTTTTTTACAGACTGCTCTTTTATAATTGGGGTCTATGGGGAAAATGCATTTTAGGCCAGACTTTTTCACTGCTGTACCATGAGTGGCCATTGAGAAAAACTGGATGCGAGGCTGAGAGGTGACACAGTATCTAACATGATCATCCTAATTCATCAACCTACCCACTTCAAAACATAAAGCAAAAAAAAAAAAACATTTTAAAGGTTGGGTGGCACGGTGGTGTGGTGGTTAGCACTGTCGCCTCACAGCAAGAGGGTTCCCGGTTCGATCCCGGGTGTGGGAGCCCTTCTGTGCGGAGTTTGCATGTTCTCCCCATGTCAGCGTGGGTTCTCTCCGGGCACTCCGGCTTCCTCCCACAGTCCAAAGACATGCAGATTGGGGACTAGGCTAATTGGTGACTCTAAATTGTCCATAGGTGTGAATGTGAGCGTGAATGGCTGTCTGTCTCTATGTGTCAGCCCTGTGATAGTCTGGCGATCTGTCCAGGGTGTACCCTGCCTCTCGCCCGATGTCAGCTGGGATAGGCTCCAGCCCCCCCGCGACCCTCAAGAGGATGAAGCGGTTAGAAGATTAATGGATTTTAAAGGTTGCATCTCTGAGGTAAAATAAAACCAAACCAATAAATAAACCTACAGCAGTAGCTTCATGTAAGAAACACAGTGTCCTCACACAAAGCTGAGCATGCACACAACTTATCTGACAGTCAAAACAGCAGCACTTTGTACTGAGCAGAATGATGAATGTGTTTATTTCAGACACTTGACAGTACAGCCGTGTTTGATACAGGTAGAAAGGAGAAAGACTTTACTGTTATGAGATAAAGTTATAAGTTGAACTGCAGCAAATGGGTTCAGGTAAAAGCAAATGTCTCTAACAGAGTCTTTAATGTGTGGTCCTGGACTGATATAGCTGTTGCTCTAACAACAGATTTAGCTTCTTCATCTGATTGAAGGGTAACTTCGGTATCATTTTTAACGTGGATCCTATTTTCTCATGTTTTTGTGTCAAAGTGAGTAATGGAGACAACAATTAGACCAGAAAAAAATCACAATCGCCAAAGCCACCAGACTTTGTTTAAATGTTAAAATGACAATTTAAATGGAGTCTGGGAGGTTTGACGATAGCAATTTGGGGCTGTTCTTTGTTTAACAAAAAGGATCTTACTTTTCAACAAAAGGGTTTATCTCTGTAGGGATCTTTTCCATAACGTTGTCAGACACTTGTAATAATCTGAGCCTGTCAGTGGCAAAACCAAGCACTTTTAGTGGACATACAGTAATGCTGTATGCCCCATAGAGGTTACACTGCAGCCTGTTTTGCCACTGTTGGCTGCAGCACTCTCACTTAATACTAGACCAATCTGGAAAACTGTTGTCTCCATTAGTCACTTTGCCACAGAAACATGGGATTATAGTGTCCATGTTGTAAACTACTGAAGTTACCCTTAAAGGCCAAACTGATCTTCAGCAGCTTTAAGTAAAATAAGAAACCTAAACTTCTTGGACTTAAATAGCTAACATCAATGATGTGTTCCTCAGAGCACAATATTACAGTGTTGACACTGAAAACAAGAACATGGCTGTCAGACATAATCCAAAGCACATTGCATTTCATGTCAACTGAAACAAATTTTCTGGATGGTGTTGTCTAATGACAGTGTTCCCTTTCATGTTTAACACACTTCTACTTAGCATTGTTGCAGTTTGGCCATTTGCCCTGTTGCAGTGTCCAACATGAGTACAAGAAGATATTCTGTCCAAGATTCTGTGTTTGATGCATTCAGGTGGTGTGGATGGAGTTGTAGCTGAGCAGAGAGGATGGCTAAGCCTCAGAGGTCCTCCTCCTGACCTCATCTATAAGATCTGCTCTGGAAATATCAACCTGTGGACACAAAACAAGACAGTAAGGTTAAATTTGTAAACTCTTGTAAACACTGACCATGACAGATGACCACTAGATATCAAACAAGAGCCGGCGACTGCATCATATTTAGCTGCTGTGCTCTTCTAATCAAAAGGCAGATGATAACATTATCTCAGAGCCTGAGCAGGCAAATCCTCTCTTCCTCTGTGCAGCTGCCTCCGTGTCATTCAGACTCATCCTGGGTCTGGGTCGGCAGCTGCCTGTACTGGAGAGCAACACGAAAGCTAGGAGTGCTCACTCCTAAGCTACATCTGCAGACCGAAGTTTCCCTAGATGTAAACGGCACACTGACTGACAAAAAAAAGACTGCTCAACTTGCACAATCCCAGTCAACTGAAGAGTCTCCGACTGGTGATTCAAATCTTTCAGGGGGCAGGCCTAATTTACAGACACAAAATATTCTATTGCTTGCTGTTGCATCCACCCCAGTCTTCAAACTCTTGGCGGGTTTGTTTGTGTGCAACAGAGCCAACCATTAAATAAAAACCCTTAGTTAGAGGCATAATTTGAATGTGCTGTATACACGTCCAAAGAATGCTCCAAAAACCTGAATAATATAGACATATCCCTCATGTCTTAAATGTAAAATTTCTACACTCAGACAAAGGCCTAATTCAGAATATCTAAATGAATTATGCTGCTTATATGACCCGTATCATATTTGGAATTATGGTGGAACGTAAGTGTGTGTGTAAACATAGTGGGCCTCACACTGGTTCATTTATTGTGTAGCACGTATCTGACATCATTCACACCTGTCTTTGGAGATTCATATCAAGGCTGACTCGGCTGGTTATATTGATGAAATCCTGTATCATACTGTATTTGTTAATTTTATTTGGTGTATTCTATATTGTGATACGGATATGTCATAAAAGCATATTTTCTTAACTATCAATTTAGGAGGTAGCTAATGTTCCACAGGGTAACATTTAGCCTATGTTAATATAAAAAGAAGTTTTTACTCTTCTTACCTTTATGTTCATGATCATTTTCTTTAATTACCTTAGCTTCTTTTATTACTGCATTTAACCCATTATTGTAATGTTTTGTTATTTTATATTTCTTTTTATGATGCAGACTCGAAACTACTACAGTTCCACTATGTTCTTTCTGGGGGTAATTAAAATCAATAAACAATAAAAAGAAACTTCAGTTCAGATGGTCTTAAATCAACATTGTTTTGTATCTGTCTGACAGTGTGACGGCACAGATACAGTGTGTGTATTCTGTGTTCGTACCTCCTCTCTGGTGGCCACGACGCGGAGTTTGACCACTCCATCTTTCAGCTCCTGTTCACCCAGTATGGCCACCAGGGGGATCCCTGACTCCTCGCAGTGCTGCAGCTGACTCAGCAGCTTGGGGTTCTTCTTGTACATCACCTCTGCCTGACACACACACACACAAATACACTGCACTCAGTTGGTGGTACTTTCAGAATTTCACTGTCATTCTTAATAATTCAAATAATGAATAGTCTTTTCTAAGTGGCAACATTGTATCTTCGAGCAGAGTGGGGTCTAGGAAGTCAAACTTAAGGAAGTTCCCTCAAGGTGTTCTTGAGATACGGCGCTTATGAGAATGGGATGGACAACCAAAAAACACGCCTTCGGCCTTGGCTATTAACAGCGCGGAGACATAAAAATAAGAGACTTTGTAATTATGTAACAGGCTAATTATTCCAAATTATATTATCGATAAAATATTAAACTATATGGTGAAAAGTTGTATTTGAATTGATATTTATGGATCAGACTGCAGACTAACACAACAAAAATCAGCAGGTTCAGTGATCATTTGTGGCAACTGTAATGATAATAAGAACTTATGAACAATACAACACCACCAGAGTGAAAATCATTTTTAGTCTGATGTCTGTGATGGATGTGGCATTGTCAGGTCACATGACCTCCTAATAAAATGGCCCTTGTTCCTAGAGAAATGTAACGTAGGCTGTTTGAGCTGATCAGGACTAAGATCTTTGACTTGAGTTTAACATTTCTGGTAACAGTGACCCCAGGTAAAAGACAAAAACAGGAAACCAAACAAAGTCAATACAAACACACAAAACAAACACACACACATACCTTAATGCCAGCATTCCAGAGCTCAGTGACCAGTTTGAGTCTCTCCTCCAGCAGGTTCTTCTGAGCAGACGCCACCATGACCTGAACCTCTGTGGTCCGAATCTTCTCTGCAGAGGTCTGAACAACACAACATAGTTACAGTCTGGATATCTACACACACTTATTATCAATACACTAATACAAAACCTCAACTTTAGGAACAAACCTAAAACAGGTCACATTAAAAAACAAAAGAAGAGGAATTGGCAGAAAAGTGAAAATGCCATTTACTCATTCTTATTTTAAAGATAACAGCCGCCACATTACCTCAGCCTTCTGCTCCATGATGGAGAAGATCCTCTCGATGCCAATGCTAACGCCCACACAAGGCACTTTTCTGCCCTTGGGGTCAAACATGCCCACTAGGCCGTCATATCAACCGCCGCCAGCCACGCTGCCCACGCTTACACTCTCCTCTGCAGGTGCCCCATTTTGGGCTTCAGTGGACACCGGGGCCACGCCTGCCTGAGTCAGTATCGCCTCATAAATGATTCCTGTGTAATAGTCCAGACCCCGTGCCAGACTGAGGTCAAACACCACCTGGAGATGATGGAGTAAAGATAGAAAACAGAGACAGTTATCAGCACATGGTAGAGAGAAAATAAAGTACAAGGTATGATGAAACAGAGAGAGAACAAAAGTGCATACAAATACTATCATTATTGTAAAAGTAATATGGGATGTGTAAATAACAGCATGTCTCACCTTGTCTGTGACCTGGAAGAGCTGCAGGTAGCTGAAGAGCAGCTTTATGTCGGACAGACCAGCACAGGCCTGCTTACTCTGAGACATTTTCGGGTCTTGAAGGAGGCGCTCTGCCAAGGCCATTCCACCTGCAACACAAACAGTTAGCTGTTCACACATCCAGCAGACACAGGAATCTACATTAGCATTCAGTTGGAGTCATGTTTGTGTCCACCTGATGAACCAAAGTCCACTATTCACTGTCTTATAGCTGTTTTTGATCTCCACCAACTCCTGAGACAAATATTCGACTCCTCAGCTGCTCAGTGCTCCACTGTGTTCACCAGCTAGTCCCTAACCGAGTCTGTCTGCTACTTGGAACAGCTAATGCTGCTGCTGCTGCTGCTGCTGCTGCTGCTGTTAACCAGGGTGACAAATGGAAGTTTGAGCTATACAACCAAATTAATGAGCAAAAAAGGCTACAAAGCTCCATAGAGCGCCAGAGTCTTTGATTCTCTGTGTGTTCATCACTGTGAGTGACTCCTAATTTGCTATTTTCTCCATTAATTGATTTATTGTTTAAAATTTTAAATATCAGAAAATAGTCAACAATGGCATTCACAATTTTGGAAAGCCAAAACTGACTTTTTCAAACTGCTTGTTTTGCCCAATCAACAGCCCAAAATGAAAAGGTATCTAATTAAATGCCACAGAAGACCAATTGCACATCTGAGAAGCTTGAACCAGCTGCTGCTGTCAGGACAGCCTGTCCTCAAGACACGTCAAACTTTATTATTCCACTAGGATAAATTTGGTTGCAGCCAGGTGTACAAACACATTTGTCATTAACAAGCAGTGACAGTGACAAGCCGTAAATATGTGAGATCACTTCAAATTAAGACAAGTGCAAGAAACAGCTAAATGCCGGCTACATGCAGTGCTTAGGTTCCCAGATCACCTGCACATTCAGGCGACTAACTGCTGTGTAAACAAAAGACACTTTATATCTGTTTGCCCTCTGAGCAGGAACTCTATATGTACAGCCTGAGGGTTGAAGCTCAAACTTCCTGTGCAGTGGGTGATCAGGACAGTCTAATAATTCAGTGTCCCCGCATCTTTACCGCAAATCTGACTAACTTAAATGGGTATAATCTTATTTCATTGTAGAGCTGCATGCAGTGTATTGATTTGCTCCGCCCCTTTTTCTCTCCCTCTGTTTATCATGAGAGTACTGGTGCACGACCAGCTGTTAATGACCCCCCACCCTCCCACCATTACAAATAGATTCTAACACTGTGGGAGACACTGAATGCACACAATGATGTGCTCCGAATCCGAGACAGCATCACAACTATTTTTGCAATTTTCACTTGCCCTCGCAATTTCATTGCAAAAAAAGAACAAAAAACACCTCTAAACTTAGCAACATGCATTGCAAATTTTTATTTATTTATTTTTTTTAGAAACGCTGTCAAAAATCAGACATTTCAGTCTGCAACAAGTCGAAATCAACCCGTGAAATCCTGGAGGGGACTGAATTAAGTTCCATGGGCATTCTTTAACCCCCCAAGTGCAGGAACTTTTAGGGTGGGGTTTGCAGGGATGACCCACACTGATAAAGAAACACACAGCACTGCAGCTGCTTCCACTTGTGTACTGCTTTAAACTTAAAACAAGAAGTACTCCAGAACTGATTCAGGATGATTTTAGGACGAGGGAAGAACATTAATCTGTGTCACAGTGCTGTGAAACAGACGGTGAGTCATAGAAATAAAAACGTATTTTCTGATTCACAGCAGTTACATTCTAAAGCACAAATAAATAACACTCAACAGATGATTTCCTCTGGAGATAGACGATATTAGTTTCAGGTTCCTCCTCTGTATTTTATTCATTGCATCCAACTGACAGGCAGCAGCACTATGCAGCAGTAGCCTAAATGTCATCACAGTGAGGCAAAACCTGAGATGTATTTCAACTTGCTTTTTAGGTGAAACTGGCGGGTACACTGAACTGTATGCTGCTGAGTTGTTCGACCCTGTGACGTTCAGCAGCCCTTGTCCTGTCATGTTGCTTTTTCATACATCAGTGGACAAATTTGCCTGATCTTTACGAGTCTTAAGACAATGGTGGAAATGCAGATATCAGTGGGCTGAAGGAACCTTTTAGCTACTTAAAAAGTTTGTCCCAGCTTCTGACAAGTTTGTCAAGCTTGCTCTCATTGGCCAGATTCAGGTTCCCACAATATAGTTGGAAAGAACAAACTCAATGAAAATTCCTCTAAGGACTGACACGGTGATAACATAGGATATACGTAGGAAGTCTCACCCTGCATACTGACGTACTCCCCAATTTGGTCGGCAGCCTCCTCTGACAAGCCCTTCTCATTCACCATCTCCTTCTTCACTTCCTCCCAGGGCATCTGGGTGTGGACAACAGGAAATGGGTCAAAACCAGAAAGATAGAAAGACGTTAAAAGAACGGAGGAGTGTGGAATAGGGTTTACATCAGACTGACCACCAACTATGAAGATTTAGTCTTAAAGTGTGGCCTTCAGAACAACAGTTGACTCTGTAGAGTCTGTAGAGTCTGTAAGGGAGTATCTATGTTTGCAGAATTCAGTGTGACAAGGTGAGTGTATGTGCACAGCAGTAACCTCAATACCTTGTCCAGTTTATCCACTGTTGAGCAGATGGTGCGGAACTTTTCATCTGGAACGCCACACACAGCAAACATCCCATCAAGGATGCGTCTGTCGTTGACCTGGACACAATGGACACGGTTACAGAGGTGACACCTACTGATCAAAGCCTGCAAGATTCAGTCTAGAAATGTCACTGAATATATGTGACAAACCTTGATACGGAAATCTCCCAGGTCCAGCTCACTGAGGATTTCATGGACAATCTTCAGACACTCAGCATCTGGAATCATGCCATCATACTGCCCTGCTATGTCAAAATCCTGAAACACACACACACACACACATTCATTCATTCATTCAACTAGCGCAGACACAACTTCAAGTGAAATAAATCAGGCCGGTTTCCAAGAGATCTAACAAATCAGCCAGTAATTGGATCTCCCTGCAGGAGTGGGCGCATGTATTTGAGGATGACTCACGCATTGGTAAAACTCTCTGTAGCGTCCGCGGGTCATGGCTGGGTTATCACGGCGGTAGACCTTAGCAATGTGGTACCGCTTGATGTTGGTTATCTTGTTCATGGCCAGGTAGCGGGCGAAGGGCACCTGAAAGAGGGCAAGTCAAGGACAACACACCACTCTCTGAGGGCTAAAATTTAATGAAAGTGCCAGTAAGCTTTAGTAACATATAATGAAAAGAACTATGACGAAATGTTTGTCCATTTTCATCAATGAATAAAAACTAATTGAAAACCTGAAGAAGGACAAATGGACAAACTAATAATTACTGTTTTCATGTAAAGTCTTATTCAATGCATGACTTGCATCTGTGGAATGCATTTGTGGTTCCACATTAGTAAAACACTTTCCTCCACCACCCAAATGTATCTGATGTTCATAAGCTGATGTTGCTGCTTGAGTTGTTAACCTGCTGTCTCCAGAAACATTCTGTCTCCGTCAGTAACTTTATGTAATGTTAGTTTCTTACCAAAATAAAATAAAAAAACACAGGTTTGTGGACTAAATTCATCTACAGTCCACTGAGAGTCAGACAAGAAGCAGCAACAAAACAGCGGAGACAAACCTGGACATCATGGAGGCAGTACACTGACATCTATAAAAAGGTAAGCTGATGTAACATTATCAAGTGCTGTGGATGTGGATAGAAAGTTGACACCCAATAGCAACTTCCATGTTGCTTTGGAAGGAGTGAGTAATCACCAGGATGAATGTGAGTGATCAGCAAACTAGATGTTCGCTTAAGAGGTATCACTATGTTATCCAATGTTTTAGCTTCTCCTCTAAAGCTAAACCCAGACTGTGAGCAGTGTTTAAGGAGTACTTGAGTGGTCAGCTGCTCTACAGTGGAGAGCACAGGTAGCTAATGCTAATGCTAAATGAACAGGAATGACAGAAAGCAGTTTCAGAGGTTATAACGTCAGCTTGATTTACGGAAGAGAATCAATCTGTTGTATCACTGACGATGTCGTGTGTGTGTGTGTGTGTGTGTGTGTGTGTGTGTGTGTACCAGTAATTAATAACTTTTCCACTAACCTCACGGTAGACACTTGAAATCATAGTAACTGTACACAAGATGGTGACAGCTATAGGCCTCAAAATGTTTAGAGGACATGAAAATGCATGCCAAAAATACAACTATATTATAATTGAATATTATAGTAGAATATTTTAGTGACACAAACTAGGCTAAAATATGTCAAACACACAGTAATGTAGTATGGAAAATAGTCATTTGAGCTCTCCAGGATCCAGTTAGCACCTTGTTAAGATTGAAAATGAGCGAACAGTGTGTCTACTTGTTCATGTTCAGCCAGCTGATGCCCACTGTGGTGTGCATTTGAAGGATACCGTGAGGTCATATCTGAGGGACAGGAGCTCTCCTCCTTGGTCTTTGAGGTCATAGATGAGCTTGGAATCTTCTCCATACTTCCCTGTCAACGTTTCCTACACACCACAGGGAGACCACAAGATGTTTTAAAAGGACCTTTCCCTTAGCACATGCACACATGCACTGAGTGGCAAACATGTTAAATTGTGTTGTGAAAATCTACCTTTAGTTCAAAAACAGGTGTGTCGATGGTTTCTGCTCCGTGACGTTTGAAGCAGCCGATGATGGTGTTGAAGACTTTCTCTCTGATGGCCATCTGCTTTGGGTTGTAGTCCCTTGTTCCCTGATGGAGAAAGACATTTGCTGTCAAGACTTTAGAAATGTTTTATGTTAGACCTCTTCGTCATGGGCCTATCTGGGGGTTGTGATAATGGGTTACAATCATTCATTTTAGTGAACAATTAAATATCATACAAATAATTGCAATTAAAGGTTTAATTGTCCATTTCATCTGTTCACACCGAGATGCTGCTGTGTTTGGCTTTGAAACTAGACCTAAATCCATGTTAATTTCGAAGGCTGCTCATCGAAATGATGCAGAGTGTCAATTCATCTTCAAATAACTTTGCACTTTAGATTGCAGGTTAGATTGCAACACTGGCAGGTGCATTTATACCTGCGCTGTCATGTGTTTTTCCTTGTCCAAACAGATGTAGATTGTATTTTAACATCAGGTGGTAATTTGGTCTGAGTAACACGCAATTCTTTTAATTTTCTGCTGCAACACTACAACACTCTGTATGTACAGATCAGCATATGTGTGTCTGTATACAGCAGCACTGTGGTCCTACCTTTGCAGTCTTGAGAACAAACTGATGTTTGCCATCATCTCCTCCTATCTGAGCCTTCAGCTCCAACAGTTTGGCTACCTCCTCATCAATCTGCAACACACAAACACACACACAAACTGGAAGATAAGACCTTTGTGAACACTTACTGTATCAGTTTTCTACACAAGTTTGATACTGAATAGGTCGATATCAGTGAGAAACTTCAATGACTACAGATAACATTTTACTACAATTTTACTAAATACACACATGCACACAGCACCAGAGGCCTACCTGAGCCACAGTGATCCCAGGGTAAGAATGCAGAGATCGGAAACGTGTTGCAGTCCGAAAGCCCACCACACCAGAGCAGGCACGAACAAAAAACATGCCCAGCATGTTCATCAGAGAATGCACAAAAAAAGTCCAGAAATTGGACAGGCAAAAGAAGTTCAGGAGTGCATTATGGGTACAGCAATGTCCAGTAGTATTGCACAGGGCCAGCCACAGCAGCCAATCACAGTGGTCAGTAGAAGTCGAACCAGGAGGTGAGTTGAGCAATGAGGTCCATGATGGTTGGATTCACCAGAGACAGTGAGGTAGATGATGGTGATGATGAAGGGGAGGCATCAAGGGACCGTCAGGCAGGAAGAACAGGAGAAAAGTGGTAAGCAACCCTAGCACTAGGGGAGGGCAGGGCATGACCCATCATCATCATCATCACAGCGTGGAGGATAGAACATGAGATCACATGAAACCAAGTCAATCAAAGAAGCCAGACCAATGCAGCCCACAAACACACTCACACACACAGGGACAGACAGCGCACTGCTCTGACAACAAAATCAAATCTTCATGTCTGGTGCATTTAAGCTCTGTCTTTGCACTGGATGTCGAACACAAATTCAACAGGCATTGTTGGATTTTTTTCAGGTATTACTCTAAGTGTAACTAGACTGTAAGAGGACATAGTGCAACATTAAATATGCTGCTTCACATTAGGGGTCCTGGGGTGTCATTCATAAAACAGTGGGTAGGATCCATATCAAAAGTGTACATGCAGAGAAAAGTGGAAAATGGTGTGTACTAAAAAAATATTTTGATTTATAAAACCGTGCGTATGCCTGCTAGTGCGCAATTTCCTTTTGTGAATCTTAAATCGACTTGGAATTGTCCCCTCGTGGATCAGCCTCATATCCCGCCCTCTACATGCCCGCATTCAACCATAAGTGGTCAATACAAATGAATGTTGATGAGCTTCTGGATATTTAAGGTGAATCATGGCATCAGCTGAGTGTCACCACTGTATTTATATGTTTACAGCAATCAGACTGGCTGCTTCACACCTTGCCAAAAATAATCGCAACAGCTGACCACCCTTGGATATCATTTGAAAATGGAAGTTTGATAGATGAAGACAATTTATTTCTGTAAATTTGTTTTGGCCTGTATTCTGATTAGGACTCACGATGAGGATCTGGAGTTTAATAACTGTGTGAGAGCTGTCACTGGTTTTGTTTTCAGACTCTGCTAATTTAAACAATCCATATGTGCAGGTGGGGAGGATGTGAAGGGTGAGTGGTTTGTGTCAACACAGCGGTGTCCCTGATGCGCTCTGTGCAAGTGAAAGCACAGTCAAGTTCACTGCAGAGAGTTTGCAAAACAAAACAAAACATGATATTATTGAAAACTACTAATGCTGTGTTCTGCAATTATTTAATGTGATTTAATGCGTGCATTTCAACAGCTGCCTGTGCTCCACAGCTGAGCACTGAGTGTCAGCAGCCTACAGTTTGACCCTCTTCTCTGTGCTACGGGATTGGGGATGTGATGGTGAGACAGCACTGATGAAATACTGACCAGAGGTTGATTTGAGATATGAGTTGGCTTGTAATTTTTCAACTGAAAGGTGCTCATGGAAAAGTTATGGCTTGCCATGTCTGGCTCTGCATCTAACTTTTTTTCTCTGTATATCTTCTGATTTGTATGGCTGATTATGTGCTGCTCGCCTGTCTTCTGCTATTGTGTACTTCCGCATGACTCTTGTGTATCGTTGCACCTGCTGCTATCTGTGCTACTATGCTTCTGTTACTATGTTGTTCGTGATATGAACTGTATGTACTGCTATGCTTCTGCACCTTATTTGTCATTGTGTTGTGCGTCCAATATGGCTGTAGTGCATTGATGGGCTGGATTCTGTTTTGTGTTATGTCATTGTTATTTTATACTATGATGCTGTCTACTTTTAATACATTTATCTTTCAGGTTTGTGGTTCTCTATAACATCTTGCCAAAGGACTGCAGTTGCGAATTAGCCGGCTGGCTAAAACTGGCACATTTAGAGTAAAACTGTTGATTAATGTGTACTGTCCTTTTGTAAATAAAATGAACTGAAACTGAAACTAGCACAAGCACAAATAAAACAGCTGGACTGAATGTTTCTGATAAAGTGGATCTATAAGTAATGTGGTATGAAATTAAATGTATAATGAGTCCTCTCACATTTAATTTTTACTATCTGACTTTCTCGTACACAAAGGTCAGAGTCGCAAAATGTTCGTGCACATGGGTCAGAGTTTCCCTACAGGTGCGCACATTGTTCCATCAAGTTAGCATCTATAGATCACAACTTTTGCATGGAAAGTGTCATGCATATGCAACAGTTATAAATGTGACCCCTGGTCTTGTGCCTGCGGGCTCACTGTCACACTGTCATGGCTTACTGGGACACAGTAACATTACAATGCCTTCTTTAAGTCATTAGTAACACCTGTGCTTTACCTACTATGACAAGTCTAAATGTCTGCAATGAAAAAAGACCTCATTTGAAAGACTTCAAATGATCACTGCTTGTTTTACCTAATTATGTCCCCTGGTTAGACCATGTGTGTGCATAATTACACAGCCACTGGTGATGCCCCCAGGGACTGAAGACAGGTTTAAATGACACCCAGAGAATAAAGAACACAGAAAAAAGCTTACAGAGAATAAAACAGAAAAGAGTCTAATTGAGCCTGTTATCTGTGGACTACTCAGCTAAGACACGTTCAGTGAAAAGCAGGTGGCATTATGGTTTCAAACTTTTGAACCCAAAATGTAGGTATAGGTGTGGCATTCTGATCAGACCAGAGGAAACACTGTGCACTGGCGGAACGGCATCTGAAGACACCTGATCAACCACTCACTCTATAATATCAATAAGGTCCTCTAGATTCCCAATGGCATCTGTCTGTGTTAATAAGGCAAGTTATTGCATCAGCTAACCTCCTTACACTTGTCTGATACACACGTTTAATACTGAAACGCATCCTTACCGAGACGTCTAATAACTTCAATTTACAAATACAATTTAATAACGCCATATCTGTTTTTCAGTCTGTTGGCCACTTTTCTGTCATTCCCATACTGCCATGTTAGCATTAGCAAGCTAAGTCGAGAGAACGGCTAGCGGACGGGGCTGGTTAGCTGTTGAGGTAAAACTAGCAGTTAGCCGGCTCGGCTAAAATGAAAATACTGGAGGGAAGTGACAAGCGGTCATTCTTACTGCTATGTGCATTTTAAAGCATCTAGTGTGACTGTAAGCTAAATAGTAGCCCCAGTGCGGAAAGCTAGCTAGCTGTTGTGACGTTCTTACACTGAACATCGCTCGAGTTTTGAGCAGTTTAATGTTGACTCACTTATTATTCATCACATGTAAACTGTACAATACTACGGGTGACGTGTCCTAAATCATTGGTGCCTTCTAGTTAATTCGGCATATATATGGCAGAGGAACACGGTCATATAGTTTACATAATATGTACCGAATAAAGCAGTGACTTATAGTAACGTCAAGCAGCCAGCAGTGAGTCATGATGTACTAAGGCCGTAATAATATGACAGACACACAAACGGCGTTTGGTCTGAGGATTTACATTTAACAACTCAGTATAAAGGAATATCCTTTAACATTACGTGTGAAGTTGTCGGGGCTGCCTCAGTTACCCTGTTCTATTAAATGCCAAATGGACATGCTGTTCACCACATGTCAAGAACCTGCCTTAACTTCCCCTCACATCACCGCTAACTGTGAGTACTGACCTGCTCTTTGCTCGCCTTCTCTGACTTTAACTTCCGAACCACTTCTCCTTGGATTTTAATCGCTTCTTGTATCTGTGCCTTGTCTGCCATGGCTTTTCATTAATGTACTGCACCGCTACTCTCACCTCCGGCAGCCCTGTAGCCGTCAAAGTGAAGCGTGAAGCGGATACGGAAATACATAACACTTCCGGTTAAAATTTGCGAAGTAAAATCAAAGAGCATGGATACCAAGAGGCGAAGCTCAATAGAACGCCCATAGACATATATACACGTATATATATACGTATATATGTCTATGAGAATGCCCCATAGCAACAGATTCCTCCATGGTTTCGTCCTACCGCCGCCATTTTGGACCGTCAGCAGACTGCAGCAGACACACAGACAAACTGAAGTATATCGCTACTAATTATGCTTACAATGCTACTCACCTCGTGATAGCTTGGTCACAGCTGCTTTTTCACGTTTTTGTAAAGCAAAACAAAACAAAACGAAGAAAAACGGCCGAGATGGCATCTCTACATATTACATCCACTTATGAGAAGATTAACTTAATTACTCCTTCAAAATCACACCATAAGCCAATCTATCAAAAAAAAAAAAAAAAAATCAATATTTTAACTAGAAACACATTAATGGCGACGTCACATAGTCAGGAATAAAGATTTATTTACAGTTTGTACAGTAAGGGGACAGTAATAATAATAATAATAATAATAATAATATATAAGCTATTTTAATATGATATATTTTAATGCTAAAGCAGTAATCAGTTCTGATATAAATGGTCCAAGAGGCCATATATAGGCCTATATATACATATATACATATATCTTCCCACGAAAACTGGCATATTAAATTGATATTAAAACACTTTAAAACGTACACCTCTGTCGGGATCCTTCGGGAGACGGTGGAAGGCCAGGTGCGGGGTGTTCCACCGACAGTTGTTGCAGTTAATTGCACTACACTGTTTTCTTTTACTTTTTTCTCCTCTCTCCTTGACATCTTGCATGTTGTCTGGGCGCAACAGTCCAAGCTCAACAGTCCAAAATGGCGTTAGCGCCCCTAGTGGCTGTTGGCAGAAATTCAACGGAGCTTCGCCTCTTGGTATCCATGCTCTTTACACAGTAAGATAAGATACACTTTATCTGCAGGGAAAGATGCAATTTTAGTAAGAGTGCTAATAGAAAGAGTGAATCCTAACTAAACATTTATTGGCACTGTCATAAAACAAACTGATAAAAATACTATTAGAGACAATTAGATGATGAACAACTCAAATCAGGATCTGAGAAATTGCCCAGTTACGTCAGATTGATGTTACAGATTTAGATTAATGTGCTAGGGCAAACAGTGTTTTAAAAACTCAAATCACAATGTAAAGAGTACATACATAACTACAGGACTTTAAACTCTACATACAAAAAAAAACATCTTCCTGTTTGAACAGTGACCAAAGTAGGTCCATAACCAAAGTCCACTTCCACTGAGTGAACAGAGACCTGTCACCAGCATGTCTGTGAGTATCATCATATTATTGCAACTAGATAGAAATTATAGACAGTTAAGAATGCTGATTTTGGGTGATGGAAATGACACAACAAGAGGGGGCATTAACAGTTTGTTTGATTTGACAAACGTAAGGAATCTCCTGTAGATTAAAGTTGTCAAAATCAAAGGCTGATCAACATTTGAATCAAAGTCTTGCTTGTGCTGTAACCAGTGCGCTACCAGGACACTAATGAAACATATTCCTGAAGGATTATTCTAATTCTATACTATATTTTCTTATCTATATTGTACCACTGATTTTTTTGAGTGTTGGTATCCACCACCAGCATGTCTGTTAAACTTTTATTCACAATGCGTCTGTATATATGTGGTAGTGATAAACTTTTTGGAACTTTTATGGGTCCTGTCTTTTTCTTAGCCCATTTCTGTGAATATGGAGATTGATAAACCCATGTCATACAGACTCTGATATGTTGACTCTTTTCGTCTGCAGGTTCCAGTCAGCATGGAGCTGTCTCCCCCTCCCTCAGGTCTAGAAGCAGAATATAAGACACTTTTCACCACAGACTGCCTTCTCTTCCTCCATGAGCTGATCTCCACATTTAATGAGGAGGTGGATCAGGTAAGACACCTGGGAAAAAAGGCTTTTTTATTTAATGCATGGAGGACTTGTTTAAGATGAGGCATCTACTGTTTTCTATTCAGGTCCTGCAGTTACGAGTGACTAGAAAAGTAAATTTGGACCTTTCGGGTGACCTGCCAAACTTTCTGGAAAGCACCACACATATCAGGAGAGACCCAGCCTGGAGGGTGCTCCCCGTACCCCCGAGGCTCCAAAGAAGACATGTGGATATTGGGGATCTGGCTCCTTGTGATACCCAGTGCTTCATTAAAGCTCTCCAGTCACCAGCGCAAGGCATACAGGTACCACCTCTGTCATTTATCTATATTACCACATGAGACCAACACAATAACTGTATATTGTATGCCAACACTGTCACTCCAAAATCGTCAAATTTGGCAGCTTGGTCAGTGGCCCTACACTTTAAACTATGACGCTCTTAGTACCCCTCTAGCATCAGTTTGAGATGCGTCAGTTTCTGCTCATTACATGCAAACAGAGTCTTGGGCACCAAAACTTCTTGGCAAGGTCTGGCAAAAGATCGTGGTTTGGTAGAATAAGTATATTTGTTATGTAAGTTAAGTATGTTACATAAATCAACTTACATATGCAAGTTAAATGAAGTTGACTTTTGGTTTCATGGGACATGAACAGCAGTCTCCTGGGTGAAAGTACTGTTTGTTTGACCCATCCATCCACTATGACCTCCTCCCTTAGTTGCTCTTTATACTGTGTCACCTGACTTCCTCCTTTGCTCAGGTCATATTTCCCACAGACACGTTGTGTCATAGTTTGAAAGGGCCACTGACCAAGTTGCTGTATTTGACAAGTTGTGAGGGAGAACACCCTGTGGATAATGCTGTACTGTTTGGTCATGAAAAGCTTTATTATAATTTCCAAATATGAAAATGATTTTATTGGGAGAACACTGACATGTAGCGAGTAACTTCAGTGGAAGTCATATTAAACTTAACACTTAATGTGAATCATCAATATCCTTTGATTCCAGTAAGGCATATGGCTATGTGAGAATTACAGCATGATTATCTTATTCAGTAATATGAATTTTTTTTAAATTTATTTTGACTCCCTCCCACATACAACACATACACCTGCAGCCACAAATACTCACTGGAGCACCAAATGAAGATTAAACCACTGCTGAAAAGAGTCCCCCAACAATTGGCTATTTTCTGCAAGTGTTAAACGTTAAATGTTGGACAAATTTGGCCAGCTGTTGTAGGAAATTATACTGTGCCTTTCAAAAAAATCCTAGTTTAAGGAGCCAAACAGCAAAATGAAGAGACAGAAAAAAACATACAACACTACAGACATACAATGTCATCATGTAAGATAGGGAAGGAAAGTTAAAAACTCTTAAGGGATGGACTAACACATTGGTTTTGACATTTTTGTGGGAGTTCTAGACAATGAAAAAAAATAACACCAGCCTTGTCTTTAAATACCAAAATCTTCCTTTGTAGAATAGTTCTTTCCAAGTTTCCATACATACAGTAGGCTTACCAGTGATACTTGAGGTGTCACTGTTAGCATTGATGCCAGTGCCTTTGCAAAGTAGAAAATTGTGTCCCATGTGATCACAACTGCACTCTCATAGTGGCACTATGAGAGTGCAGACCTCTACCATGGCCAGTAGTCCAGTCTTGCATGATATGTAAATCTGCATGCAACCATTATATCTGGATATATTCCTAAAACTATTAGAATCATGTTAAAAGAGCGCTCCAAAAGGACTACTTCTGTATGAAGTTTGAGTACATGTGTAGGCTCCCCTCACATTTACACCATATTTCACCAGGATTTGGGAAGTGAGATTTTTCATGCTCTTCAGTGTGCAAATAATAGTCTGTCGTCATTTTGTAGACCATGGAATCACATCCAAATTTCTCAGTAGAAAGCTAATATTGCAAATCCTGGTGAAATAATGTGTAACTGTCCAATCAATGTCTTCAAACAGTTGGTGAAAGAACTTTCACTTTTGAACCAATTCTGAACGTCTTTTTACGTCATCATTTTTAAATGTTAAACCTCAAAATGCTCTCTGTAGGACTTTATTGTAAAAGTGGTTCTGGCTGTAGGATGACAACAACAGCCCACCAGCATAATTGAAGATACATACTTAGTTATACTAACACATTTACAGCCGCCACTTAAAAAATACAGACCATGTGACACATATTACAATGAGTTTGTATTTATTAAGCAACAATTTAAATAAGTCATGAAAAATGCTCTTTAAATACAATTACAGTGAAATAGAAAAAGTTTGACATGGTGGAAACCTGTAATAAAACAAGTATTTAAAAGAATTGTAATTTCACTATCCGCCCGGTGGATTGGAGCTGCTCCAAATTTAATGAGTTCATACTTGGCCCATGCTTAACCCCCCATCACGTTTCATGAAAAAAGGTAGAGTAGAGGTCAGTAGATTTTCTAATCCTGCTGTATTAGCTTTTATTATTCTGGGTTTTTGTTTGTCTTTCCCACTTGGATGCAAAAGAACAAGCTGAAATCACACCCTTGACACCTTCTAAAGAAAATGTTAAAGTAGCTTAGCTTAGCATTCAGCTCAAATCACTATCATCTATAAGCACAGCCTCACAGAGTCACTATGACTGCAGACTCCTCGTACAGCTTTTGTGCTGTGTCACTGAAGAAAGACTCACCTGAAATTCTTTTTTTGGTTTCAGGTGGACTTTGATGATGGGAACTGCCCGACATATTACAACCAGATCAAAGGCATTCATAATGTTTATAAGGCAGTTCACAACCACCTCCCCAGTAAGTGGTTTACTTAATTCTGATGCTGATGTTGGCACTGATTCATTACTGTACATGGATAGGGGTATTTGTGTGCTCTCAGTCCAAGTATAGATAGTTTATAGTGTCCGGGCATGTGAGTGGAGGTTGCTTAAACATCGTGGCAGGCACAGGTAAGAGCGCATACCTCACAAGATGGCACCTCCCACCCAAAAAAACTCAACTTCACATTCTTTAGTCAAGGTGTGACAGTCCACATCCTCTCATGTACCACACCATCTTTCATGTGTTTACAGATGTTCCACACATATCTCAGGCTCCAGTGCTGATGCTCCGTCCTCGCGCCTGGAACATGGTGGAGCACAACATGATGGTAGTATAACATCTGTACTTCACTTCACTCACTTTATTTACTCAGTGCAGAACTCCTAAAGAAACTCCTAATCCTAAACTTCTGCTGTCAGAATAATTTGAAAGATGCTATCATCGCATTATAGCTGATTGTTTTCATAGAAATATGTCAAGATTTTACAACTTTTAAGCCAGTAAAATAACCATATAAGGCCTCAGCAAGTCTCTGTATTTTTTTCCATTGGAGGAGACTTTAAAAAAGCATTCTAACTTTTAGGTAAGGTTAATTTTACAGAAGATTTCACGTAATGATTACCCCAACAAGTAGATTGATTTTTTAAAATAAATTAATAAATAATAATGATAATTTAAGAAATAAAATAATTCCCTTATTTGGTTCCTGTTGGAAATGTCCTAAGGTTGGGGCAACTCTTCATCTCAGTATTTCTTAAGCCTTGGCTACATCCCTGGCTTTTGATTAATATTCAACAGCATATTAACAGTTGTTCACTGGTCCAGGACATAACTGTTTGATTTGCAGGAACTGACATGTTTACTTATGTTGAAACTTTTTTTTTTCTTTTTTCTGTTTTTTTTTTACACATTTACTGGTTCTAACTGCTCAGTGAGGATTTATTGCCTCACAGTAGGTTACAAACATTACATTTATATTAATTTAAACTGAATATTAACAGACAAAATCAGCAGTTTTTTCAAAATAAATTTGGTGCTGTGATAACACATGATGGGCATTTATCTTTATTTTTGACATGCTATAGGCTAAATTAGTATATGAATAAGCATAGGAAAATAATCCATAGCCTACATAAAGAGGATGTTATGTGTGTTTCAGGTGGAGGGGAGGGAGGCTCCTGGTCCTCTCTTTGACTTTGGACTCCTCATGTTTCACTGTGGAAGGACACTTTTTGAAAACAAGAGTGGACCCTTTTTCTACCTCTCAAAAGTAACACACACACACACACACACACATAGATAATTTGTGTAATATGAACATAAAGCTTTAATGTTCCTCCTTGTTCTGCAGGTGGAAAGCTTCATGGAGGCCAGACTGTGGAACAAGATTTTTCTCTGGACACAACACAAGGTCTGCACGTGTGTCAGCGTTTATGCACATATCAACCATCTATTTTCCTGATCACTTTCATGTTGTATCAGTTTTAAACAAAAATACCCAGGTTTGGTTTGAGAGGAGCAGATGAAGATGATTTTGTCATCAGGAAGTGTATTTTGATGTTCGTATTAATAAGTCAAACTTAACTTTAATTTAACATCTTAACGTGCCAAATACGCATTAGGATGGCAGAAAATTCCCTATTGACAAAGGCCTAGGCTACATTTCTGACTTCTTCAGAATATTTAGAATATTAAAGATTCCATTCCTTTGGCTGGCCACCCCTTTTCGACGTAGCAACTGCGTTGGCCAATGTGGGCTTCTGTGAGTAAGTACGTTTTGGCTACGTACCTATCACCTTTCGTTGAGTTGAGTACTTTATTCAATCCTTCACAGGAAATTAGTGTTACAGCAGCCATATTTGAACACACATACATACATATATAAATAAAGATAAAAAACAGAAAACGCACACTGTCACGTATGTGTCATAAGTGCTCATTAAAAAGTTTCATTGCAGCAGGAATAAAAGACCTCCTGCTGCGCTCTGACTTTCACCTAGGAATAATCAGTCTGTCACTGAAGGTGCTCCCTTTGATCACCCCCAGTGCATGAAGTGGATGGGAGGGATCTTTCAAGATTGCCCTCATCTTGGACAGCATCCTGTCTTCCGCCACCTGCTGGACTTATACCACAATTGGTGCTCAGTACTGTCTAAAACAGATTTCTCAATGGAAGTTTGTCACTGGCATCAATTTTTACACTGCCAGTCACATGAATATGGTGTATGTAAGTGTTGAGTCAGAATTTTTTTAGTTCCTACGTTCCCTGAAGGCACTGTCACTCAAGATTCCACACCCCTCTCAGTTGATGCCACGCCACCCACGCCACATCAGGGTCAAAAGTCTGAAACTCAAAAAACAGATTTGAAACTGAAAAAAAAAGATTTGAAATTGAAAAAATAAGATCTGAATCTGAAAAGATAAAACATGCAACTGAAAAAAATAAAACCTCAAATGTTAAAATATATATGGAAGTGAAAAGTGAAAATAAATGATTCATTCAAAAGAATTACCAAAGTGAATCAAAATTATATTTAACCTGAAAAAGCGTTTCATATACTTATTTTTATTTTGAATACATTGTTGTATTTTTCAAAATTCAAGATCAACAAGTGAATTTTCAGTTTCAAATTTTATTTTTTCAAGTACAAAACATTTGACCCTAATGTAGCTCCATAGCAAACAATTTACATATTTCTGTACTAATTTTTAGCTCCATGTAAGGTGAAAAAGCGTGATGTTTCTCAGCTAATACTCTGGAGTTCTACCAAGTGAAACATGGTGCTGAATTCAGCAGCAGACCACAGTAATATAAAGTAGTAGTTAAACAAATAACCTCAGACATTCATTATATGATTTGAAAGAATTAATGCAAATCAGTAAACACTCAGAATAGATGACTGAACACTATGCCCTATGTACTCTAATTTAATTCTGCCATCTAGTGGACACTAAGAATGCAGACCGAATACTATTTAAATGTATTATTTTATCAGTTTCCCCTCCAAAACTGGTGAAATGGTTGCACCTAATATTAAACCTCTTTAGAGTTCAGAGATGTACTTGTTAACAGAGCATTTTCTGTTCTTAATGTGCATTTGACAAACGAGACAAACAAGGGATTGTGCCTTCAAAACCAGGTAGTTTAAGCCTTGAAGTAAGCAAGAAGTTTAAGCATGAACTTTTCCTAACCATAACCAAGTGTTTTTTTGCCTAAACCTAATTACGTGTTAACCACAGCATTGTTGAAACATATCTGCAACATAATAACATGCAAATGTAATGTGTCCGTGGTTCAACGTACAATGGCGGCATTTTTTCTGGCAATACGTTAGATTTTTTTGCCAGCGTTGGGTCAAAGGAGCATTAGGGCCGCTGAGTTTTAAGAATCAAAAGAATCAAGTTATACTATTATGAGAAAAATACAAGTGGAAATGTAAACAGGTGAGAGCAGTTTGTCAGTGGAATGCGCTGTAGTTATTTTTTACCAATAAGCACCTTATTACTAGAGAATTCTGAATAGACATGAAAGCAATTACCTGAAATATGAGTCACTTAATCAGACTTGCTGTGAGACAGTCACTTCCTCCAAACCAAGATCAAAACACAACTTCATGGCATGAGTAAATGACTAAAGCCTGGTCGACTTTACCACTCTCAGGAAATGACATGAAAGGTCGCCAGAGTTAACTATTGTAGTAGCTGTGCACTGAGTGAATGTCTAACCCAGTCGCCAAAATAAATGTTTGGATTGTGAGCTTCTGCAAACCACAGATCTGTTACATTTGTACGTTTCATATGTAGGCGATATGTTAAAACTTGACATTTCTTGATTTCAATTTATGTTGTGGATACCATTTGGTTAGGTTTAGGCACAAAAAACACTTGCTTAGGGTCAGAAAGAGATCATGTCTTAGCTTAAAATACCTGGTTTGGTTGCCACAAACGCAGCTCAACATGTTCCAACCTGTTGTTAAAAATGTCTGCTTTTGTAGGTCTCCAACAGCAGTCTGCTACTTGACAAAGTCAGCTCATATACATGTAATCTGAACTATGTCACACATATGAAAAATACAAATGTAACATATCCATGGTTTGCAGAAACTTACAATACCAACAATTTATCCTGGTGACTGGGCTGGAATAGGTTGCTGGAAAGTAGTTACAGGCAACATTTTGTTCTTGAAGCGACCTTTTTATCCTAATCATGTATTTTGTCAAAATATTACCACTTTATTCTTGTGAAATTACAGCTGTAGCCCCAAAATGTTCTGACTTTTTTTGTGTTACTTTATTCTCAAAATCCTAGGTCACCTGTCTGTGTTCCTGATATTTGAACTCAGTCATAGTGTACACTGTAGAGTGCATGCAGAGCCCTCCGGTGTTCACAAGGTGCACTTGCACCACAAATTTAAAAAACAAAACAAAAAGTTTAAAGTTAAAGATCTAAGGCTTTTTTTATGCACTCAGTAGATATACTTCTCTTAAATGATGATGACAAGAAATATAACTGTTGAGTGTATGCAAAAATCTTAGATCTTTAACATAAACCTGTGAAAAATGGGAGCAAAAACAAAAGTGCTGCATTTCAATTTTTGTCACATCCAACAACCTTAAGGGGGAAATACAGCCATTTTCAAAATTCATACGTTTTTCCAAAAATATAAGATAACAGGACTAACTCTCCTTAAATCAAAAACTATAGTGTGCTAAAATTAAAACTTGTGATGTCATAGGGTATAAAGTCTGCAGCTGCCATAGACAATGACTGGTGAAAGATGTTCTGGATCAGTAGTTCCCAACTGGTCCAGCCACGGACACCAGATTTCTCCTTAGTCATTAGTTCAAAGTCCACACAGTTTAATATATTCAGTGTCCTACTTGTGTTTGGCCATGTCATCGAGTTAGTTTGCTGTCTCTGTCAAGTAGCTGTCCGTTAGTCACTTACTCTACAGCAGGAAACGGCACTTCAAAATAAAAGCTCTACACCGTTCTTAAAAATCAAGTGTTTTTTTCAAACTTGACACGTTCGCGAGTCATTTGCAGTACATTCAGAATGGACCCACCACGACCCACAAGTTGGGAACCACCGTTCTAGATGACACTGAGAGCAGCCAAGGGAATGTTCTCAGTATATGGGTACATTTTCTGTTTCATGACTGAGAACTTGATAATATCATAAAGCTCATTTGGGTATTAAAAAGGAAACAAACACACAGACTCCAGTTCAGTGTCTATGAAGCAGCTCCAGATTTTATACTTGGCTTTAAACTTGTGATGTATACTTTATACATCACAAGTTTGAGACTTCTCTGGTTCCTGGCTTTGATAGAGAGAAGCTCATGTGCACAGATATCATTTTTACTTAAGATGAAAACATAACATAACTTAACATAAAAATAACATATTGGAATTCTTAATGTAGGTGGTGTTCCCTTTTAAGGCTACACCTTCTTATTTACATACATTTAGAGAAGCTGAATTGTAAATGGAAGAGTGACTGATTTTCCTGTATATCAGATGTTTTTAATTGAAGTTTCACTTTTGCTTCTCTGCTTGGGCTTTTTTATTGCAGGTTTATCACATGAATTTTACTTTCCATTTTCAAATGTCGGTTTCATGAAATCAATCAGTCATTTGTAATCCCCTTTTTTTAAAATTTATTTAGCCCCTTTTCCACTGCACAAAAAAACTAATTAACTACACACTAACATCTGGCTTTTTAATGTAATGGGAAAGGTAACAGTCAGCATTGACTGTAATTGACAGCATGACAGTAGTTGACAGCATGACAGTAGTCAGTAGTTTTTATTGGCTCCAGTTCCAATCAGCAGTGATGGAAACACAATATACCTGTGAACCCACTAATTTTAGCCCTTTAACTAGCGACATGCAAATACGCACCACCACAAAATACTGTCTTTCTCTGCCCAAGCAGCACTCAAACACTGATCCAAATAAGTCTGCACCGAGTTTGAAAGAGAGACTGAACATGTAAGAGATATTAAATATATTTATATAAGAGAAGTTTTCACAGGCCTCCATACTGCTATCTACTCTTTACTAACCTCTTTTCTGACCTGTCTGGGATGTCAAACATGGCACACCAAAACCCCAGGTTTTCCTGTGTTTAAAAAAAAACTGTGCACACGCGCTAAATTTGGTGGAAAAGGGGTATTTTTAACTTGGCATTTTATGCCAGTAGTAGTATCAAAATAATATGTGAAATGGTACGTCATAGTTGTACCTAAATGAATTTGTGTGTGTAAGTGTGTGTCATTGTGTTTAGTTGGGCCTTCCACTGGGCAGCATCAAGGCAACGGTGCTAATTGAAAATGTATTGGCATCATTTGAGATGGAGGAGATTCTCTATGAGCTGCGGGATCATTCAGCAGGACTCAACTGTGGCATCTGGGATTATTCAGCCTCCTTTGTCAATAAGTTTGGTGAGCCAAAGCTTCTGGGTTGTATCTGCTTCTGACATCTCTGTGAACCCTGTGTTTTACACTCTAAACCCAATCATTGCCTCAGGAAAGGTCTAGTGCCAAATGACATTTAGGGTTCATAGACAAGGTATGATGGTGTGTATTTATTATGAATAACTTTTTACAATAAAAAATGTGTACATAAAAGCTATGGGGAAAAAGGTTACCCCTGTCTCACTGAAGTCAAGAGGTCATGTTTTTTTCACTAGGTCACCGCCAAGCCTTCCTGCTGCCTGACCGCAGTAAATATGTCAACATGGAGAAGCGTTTTCTGCGCACCTACATGGACCTGTTGGTTCAGACGTGTCATCGGAGGGGAGCGCTGGCCACAGGAGGCATGGCTGCCCTGCTGCTGCCTCAGGACCCACTCAGTGATTCCCACAAGAGAGTGTTGGCTACTGTCACCAGGTCGGAACATCACTGTTCATCACATACCTGTCCATGAGAGTGAATGAGAAAAGCATTGCATTGCAGAAAATATAAACTCACTGATGAATTTACTGAGGTTGCGCTTTCTGTCACAGAGCTCTTATCCTTGTCACTGAAAATCAACATAGTCTCACAAATTAAACTGCCTCTCTGGTTATCCAGGCATGTGGTAAAGACATTCATGGGAACAACATGACTAAAAGCCACATGACCAGTCATTAGTCAAAGCAGAATACAAAATTACTGGAGGGAATGATATACATATTAATCAGTATGTAGGAAGGCTAGTAATCAGCGCTTTAACCTACATCATGCTTTGATAACAGCTGAGTGGGATTTTCAAAGAAGGCAGATGGACCTGTCCTTTAACAATCTAATAGTGTAACACAGTATAAAAAATATACAACAATCAGCCAAAACATTAAAACCACTGGCAGATGAAGTGGATAACACTCATTATCTCATTACAATGCAATGTTCTGCCGAGAAACCTTGGGTCCTGGCATCGCACCACCCACCCAAACACTGTTATAATCCAAGTACACCCTCTCATGGCAACGGCCCCTCCCAGTGGCCGTGACCCCCCCAGCAGGACTATGTGCCATGCAACATCACAATAACTGCTCAGAAATGGCCAAAGGAACATAGCAAAGAGCTCAAGGCGTCGATTTAACCTCCAAGTTCCCCAGATCCCAATCTGATCAAGCATCTGTTGGATGTGCCGATACCCAACCTCACAACCCACAGAACTCAAAGGTCGACAGATCAGAGCCAAGTCCGAACCCAAGAGGTCCTACCATGGATTGGGGTTACCTCTGTGGTACCACCATGTCCCATGAATGCTCGCTCAGGTTGGTATCTGGGGAAATTGGAAGCCAGGTTGATGCCTCGAGGTTTTTGTCACATTCCTCAGACCATTCCTGAGCTGTTTTTGGGGTCGGGCAGGGCGCAGGGTGCACTCCCTGATGGCCACTCCCATCAGGGAGTGCTGTTGTTATGAGATATACTTGGTCTGCAACAGTGTTTTGGTGGGTGAAGCATGTGAGGTGGCATCCAAATGAATGGTCCCAAGGTTTCCCAGCAGAACATTAACGGTTTTAATGTTTGGGCTGATCGGTTTTATTACAGTTCCAGGGTATATATGACTGCAAATTGAGTTCTTTTACTTTTGATACTTTAGAGTTTATTTTTATCTGATAATACTTTTTAACTTTTAATTAAGTAGGGTGCAGGACTTCTATTTGTAATGGATTACCATTGCACTTAGTACTCAGTATGACCCGTTTAGGTCAAATTGAGGCTCATTTTCAATGAACATTCTCAAGTATTTCATTTGTCCCAAGACATCTGATTAAGTTATTGCTACGTTGTAACGTAATTAATGAAGTATACAGTATCATCAACGTACATGTACACTGGTGATGTCTGTATTCTATGCTGAGTTGTCAGATGTCATTGTCACAGTGCCCACATTTTTAAACTGAAATATGACAATGGCTCTGACACTGTTTTCTCCCACCTGTCAGACTGAAGTTGCTGGAGATCAATGCAGGTGTGGACGGTTTCATGGTTTATGATCTGAGCTTGATTGAGCCCATGCAGAAAGTAAGCACTGGACTATGAGCCATAAAAAGGGTTCTATACATACAGAGTGGCTAATAATGACTTACGTTTTCTGTTTATGGTAATTCCTCACCTCTTCCAGCTCTTCAAGCTCCACACTGAAGGGGATAACCAGCTTCACCAGCTTCGAAATGACATCACTGTAACTCCTGACGACCTGCTGTCCATGCCTTCGGTCAGATGCTCGGTTGTCTCAGAAATTAACCGCATAATTAACCACATATTGTTTGCTTATGAGCCTTTGAGTTTTGGGCTGCCACATTAATTGTCTTTCGCAAAGAATGACTCCATGCCTTACTCTGAATGATTCAAGTATGTTGCTGCAATTTATTCATAGATTGAAACTAAACAATATCATTTCAAACTTGTCCATGTTTGCAAGCAGCTAAAGGCTCAGACCTACCCCCCACATTAAACAGACACGGACGCAGTTCTAAGTATAGTACAAATGACAGTCAACTTCAGCCCCCGGCAGTAAATGGGAGGGCTGAGAGTTGAGCTTACCATCCGCCTACCACCTATATTGGGTGAAAGTGAAACTAAATGATGCTGTTGGGTCTAGAGTGATTGTCTGTCAAATATCCAACTTAAAACTAACTTCAGTACAGCGTGGCTGGCTTGAAAGCAATGCTTTGGACTGGACTGTTGTGCAGGAGCAAGAGACTGGAGCATATGCAGTTAGCATGCTTGCTATGTCCAGAGTCCCACGTGCCTCCAGATCAGCTTCATTGCACCTTGTTATAGAATCTCCAACTCTGTTGAAGTCTACTACAGGGATGAACACCATTATTCCAAAACATGTTCCCTCATTTAGTGTCGTGATTGCTTTTGTTGATAAAAGAACTCAACATTTTCATACATGTGATACAGTCTGATAGGATGACGATATTATTCTGACCTTAATAGCCTTATGTTAAAGAACAGGATATGCTGTATTAGTCTCTAGTAATGAATTATTTTTGGGTGTTTTTTGTTTGTCCCCAGGGAGGAGTCACACTTTATGGTTTAAAACACAACATTTCAGTTGGTGTCCTCTTCATTAATGCTTGGCTATCAGGTGTGCACACTCACATGTTATTATTCTCTTCATCTTTGAGAGGAGAAGTGAGGATGAAGTCATATTGCACAGACCGTTAAAACATGTTCTGTTTCCCAGGTGTAGGCCACTTTTTCTACAGAGGCCAGGTCGAAGATTCAGCCACAGCAGAGATTTCCAGATCACAGGTGGGTTTAGGATCTCATGATCCAAGTTCAGCAGCCACCCCTGTGGGGCATCACTTACTGCAAACTGGAAAGTACAGAGTGTGTGCCTCCTATGTCCTATAAATATATATTTTTAATATTAGGAAATGTTTAAATTGTTTCAGTCTGAGTCAGAATCCTGACCACTGAGATACAGAAATATGCAGAACTTTAAGCCTTAATAAAATGTAACCAGGTGAGTTATATAAAAAATCACACACACACACACACACACACACACACACACACACACCACCACCACCACCACTACTACCTGTACAGTTGTCCTGAATATTGAAATTAGCTCTAGAGACCAAAACAAGGATTTATACCAGGCTGTAAACATATTTATTTCTGCTGTAAAGTTAGGCATTTTAACATGGGGCTCTATGGGGGCTGACTTGCTCTCGGAGGCAGCCTCAGGTGGCCAATTAAGGAACTGCATTTTTTTGGCACTAATGCATTGGCCTCAATTTTCATTTCCAGATTTTGTGGCTTGTTTGAAGCACAATGTCTGCCTGCTGGTGGCACTAGATTAAAAGTCAGAGGATCACCAGTCATTACAAATCATCTTCTGGGGACCATGAATGTCTGTACAAAATGTAAAATAAATCTATCCAACAGTTGTGTCTATATTTCAGTCTGAAAGTACCAACACTGCAATCCATGGAGTGATCTGATTTGACTGACAGTGGCCTACAGCACACAAGCACACAACCCACCAATGACATCACATGATTCAAATGTTGCTACATCCTGATTGTTATGTGACATCATGTTTTTCAAAAAGAGCCCTGCCCACTTCGAATCAGTAAAAAGAGCACAGACAGAAATTACTTGAGAAGAGATTTGGAATTATCAAAAGTGTTCTAACCTTTTTTTCAATTGAAATATGAAACCCTTTTTATTAAATGTAAAGATTAAGAGAAAACATTCACTCATAGTTTCTTGTTAACCAGCATTTGACCCTTAAGTATGAATAACCTGGCATTATACTCTGTGTGTGTGTGTGTGTGTGTGTGTGTGTGTGTGTGAGTGTCTGTCAGGTGTGGCAGTGGATCCGTCATCAGACTCAGCTGGAGGATGACAGCAGGGTGGTGAGCAAGCGGCTGGTGACTGACCTCACCAAGGAGGTCATGATGGAGCTCAGGGCTTCCTGTCACATTGTTGGGTAGGCAGACACTCCTTCAGAACACCTTAAAGCTATTGTTGGCAACTTTTATGGCAAAAACCTTTTGCCATCCATCCATCCATTCATCCATTGTCTACCGCTTGTCCGAAGCTGGGTTGCAGAGGCAGCAGGCTGAGTTAAGTATTCCAGATGTCCCTCTCCCCAGCAACGCTTTCCATCTCCTCCTGGGGCATCCTGAGGCGTTCCCAGGCCAGACAAAATATGTAATCCCTCCAGCGTGTTTGGGGTCTGCCCCGTGGCCCCAGGAGGCATCCTGATCAGACGCCCGAACCACAACTGACCCTTTTTGACACAAAGGAGCAGCGGCTCTCTCCGGATGTCCGAGCTCCTCACCCTATCTCTAAGGCTAAGCCCAGCCACCCTTCGGAGGAAACTCATTCTGGTCTTTTTGTCATATTTTCTGAAACTGTCACTGCCTCCACGGTGTATTTCATGTACCTTTGCCTCTTCATATTGCTTATAATGGCATTTGCATTCGCACGTGAACGAAAAATAACCAATCAGAGCTGAGGAGTCTCTAACACAGCTGACAATCACGTCAGTTACTGCTCCTGAACTGCGGTCAATGTGTCAAACTAGGCAGCACTGACCAAATATGAATCAGGATTCTGTTACTGCATTGCCTATTTCTGCATAGCTTCTTGTAAGCTAAAGAAAGTACATTGTGTCTCTGTTGCCCTGCTGGTGAGAAAAAGGAAAAGAAAAAAAACAAAAGAGCAGCTGAAATGTTAATGGTTTACAAAAAAAGATTAACCTAATTATCACTGGATGTATCTGTATCACTGGAGAATAGTCTGTGGTATCTGCACTGTGGCTCAGGTGTTTCTCTCTCTGTCTTCTTCAGGGCTAAACAGAGGTTACATACAGCAGCTGACATCTTCCTGGAGGTGGTCCTAAAGAGAGATTTCCCAGAGTTCATCACCACCTACTTGAATCAGGAGCACACCTTTCTCAGCTCCCAGAGGGCTGGACAGGTGGAGGCTCATGACGAAGACACACCCCAATCCAAAATGTGAGGGTTCAGCTGGGAGACTGCTTCCTGTTCTTACCGCATCAATCTCTGCACATACAGTATCACACTTTGAGGACTTCACTTGGAAATTACAAAGGACGTTATTTTTGGCTATAAAGCCTTAATCAGTCAGTTAAAGAAAATAAGATGAATCGATAATAAATAAAACTTAGTTGTGGCCATCAGAGGTGGAAAAAGTACTGAAAAATTCTACTCAAGTAAAAGTACCTTTACTTTGATGAAATTCTACTTAAGTACAAGTAAAGCTACCCATCTAAAAATCTGCTCAAGTAAAAGTAAAAAGTAGTTGGTTTAAAATGTACTTAAAGTAGAAGTTACTTAATTACTTCCAACAACTTGATGGGGGTCACTCATATGCAGTGCAAATATTTTTCTATGATGAACCATAGAATTCAATTACATTTAGGGCTGCACAGTATCATTAGAGCATCACCATTGCAATGCGTTCTTGTGCAATAGTCACATTGTGAGACTCGCAGTATAAGTTCATCATATCAATATAATATTAGTCAAAGGCAATATGCCATACTTATTTTGCTGGTTAATACTTTAGGTTGTGAAGTTCTTAATTTCCATGACAGTTTGATTGTAAAATGTATATTTCATGCAAATACAGCCTTTCCAAATCCCAAATGATGACTTCTTTCCAAATAAAGCTATTCAAGTTATTACAATACACTGTATATTGCAATACATATCGCAGTATACAAAATCGTCCATTGTCAGTTTCGTCTAATATTGCGCAGCCCTCATTCAATTTGACTCACCAACACAACTGTTAGACTGATGATACACAGAGCAACTTTTTTGAGCAATGTTGTTAGGCATTATTCTCAGGGATGCAGACAGGTGTATGGTCAAAAAAGAGAGAGCTTGTCGAAGCAAAGTTCTCAATATTAAAATACACCAACACTAATTTGGAAGAAGAGTGTGTATTCCAAAACTGAACAAATCCATTGAGCAACAGTGTTTCCCCTATATGCAGCTAGCAGCGATGGTGCTTTTTTGCTCTTTAGAAACCACCGTTATATTGGTTGGTGCTACGGACGCTTCATATCCAGGTCAATTCACGCACTTGTGAGTAAAGCATATAAGAGGAGAGGAGAGGGCTCCGTCTGATCTCTTCATAAACTTAAGTTATATTATTTTGAGCAACAGACCATGGGTGCATATCTGATGACAAGTTTGGGGGGGACACACAATCAGTTGTGATTTTTTTTTTTTTAATTGCAGGTGTGCAAATCATGCCCACAGAGCGCTTGAGATTGCCAGCATATTTCATGATTTCATAAAGGCTCTTCACCAGAGTTGGGTATAACCAAAGTGGTTACTTTTTGCAGTAACGAGTAACCTAACGCATTAGTTTGCTGTTTGAGTAATCAAATACTTGAGTACATTTTCTACATCAGTTACTTCTGTTACTTTTAGAACGCTGGTCCTTCAGCTCCGAAACAGCAACGACTGTCTTTTGGTTCTAATAACGGAGATAACGTTAAACCTATCAGTCCGAAAGAAGTTATGAAGCTTGTGGCTCGCTATGTGGTAGAAGAAATGCTGCAGTTGTCTATGGTGGAGTCTAAATAGGTGGAGGAGGACTCGCTGACAGACATATTTCAGACTCAGGACTTGCATTATGCCTGGTTTACACTACACCACTTTTCTTTTTCCGTTCTGAAAGTCACTATGTCACATTACACGATTGTGGAGTCATAAAATCGTGCAGTGACTTGGCCGACAGACATGACACACTACACGATGGTACTCACCAATTATCCCCGGTCGTCTTTCACGACATGTGTGATGTCATCGGGTTATTCTTGTCCTATTTTTATTACTTTCACTATTATTTGAGTCACTGTGTTTGTTCATGTGCCAGCCGACATGTTGTTGTAGTCACCTAAAAGCGTCAGCAGATGGCAGGAGCTACATTTGAAGTACCGTAGGCAAACATTCAAGCTACTGTATCCTCCACAACCAAAGTCCTTACAAATATTTCACAATAAAAGCCTATTTAGAAAATGGAGGGATTCTCTCAGCCGAGGTTATAAGGGGCTTTTAATTTGAAACAAGTGTTGAGTTTGAAATGACGGTGCGATATGTTAACTTTACAAAGACAACGGAGCGGATAAAAAGTAAATATATAAACACACAGAGGGATTAATAAATAATGGACCATCTATAATGTAGTTTGTTTCAAATGAAGCTGGGAGCCTCTGCAGTTGTGGTGAGTAAAAGCCCCGCCGCTATTTGTTAATGTTATTACTTTATGTCCGACCGTGAGGATGTAACGTTACCATTGTTTGCTAGCTTGATGCTAATGACAGTAACGTTAACTCAGCGGGTTGACAAAGTGCCTCTGCTGTTTCACACCATCATTTCCCCCTTTTACTCTGTGTGGTAACATCCCTAGAGGAAATATTAAAAACGCTGGGGTGTTGTTGTCATACAGTTGTCTACAGCAGCAGATCATTCTGTGTTTCTATTGGTCAGAGTGACGGCTGTGATGGGAGAATTGGATCTCAGTGAAGGGCAAGTGGTCCATAACTTTAATTTTGGAGACAAAAAAATGTAGGCTTAGCGCCCTGTGGTCCATTGCCCAATAGGAAATGTAGAATACTCAAAAGTACTTTAAAAGTGCTTGAGTTACTTTTCTCAGGGAGTAATGTTGGAAGTACTTTTAAAGTAATTGAGTTACTTTACTCAGGGAGTAATGCTGTAAAGTAACTGGTTACTTTTTTAAAACGTAACACAGTAAAGTACTTTGATTACTTTTAAAGTAACCCTTACCCAACACTGCTCATCACCATCACCAAGGCATTGAAAAAGCACTACACAGAGAATCATATGTTTACCTTTACTGTTTATTTCTCTTAAACAGCCAGTAGTACATGGAGCCAGACATCACCCTCCTTTTCACTGCTTCACTGTTAGTTAATGCTACTTCTTGTTTCAGGGTCTCAGGCATGTTATGTCCACTCACGTTCTCATCTCTCGCCTCTCACAGATTTCCAATTCTCCTCATCATCTTCCCTTTCTCCCAGTATATGGGACTACTGTATACATCAGTGGATATGGATGATTATCAGAATATGAGCCCCTAACTGAGCTTGGTTACACTAACTGATCATGTTGGAAAATATATTTATAAAAATATTTGTTCCACAATTTTCATTTATTTTAGATTTGGGAATGTGGAGTCGGAAATTACATTTGTTCATTTGTCTACATCCATGCAGACAAATTAACAATATACTTTATCGTGTTATACGGTGAAACGTTTCACTTTATAAAGTGATGACTTATATTGTTTACAGTACGGCATGTCATTTCTGTCTCTACATGGTCGCACCTTTACAATCCTCCTCTTTTCTCTGTGTCGCGCACGGCGGAGCACACACACACACACACACACACACACACACACACAGGTGAGCACACAAGAGCGTGGCGTGGGCCGTATTTTTCTGACCAACAATTATAAACGGCACTGTGCACACAGGGTTTTCTTTCGTTTCGTTAGTTTCTTCGTTCATTTCAACTGCTGCAAGTGTCTGCTTGTGCTTCTGCTGAAGCACTCCCACCCTCCTCCATCCCTCTATCCAGTGACTCGCCGGCACCGGCCGCTTGTTCTGGGTCAATTCCACGTGAGATTTCTGAGATTCACTCTTTTGGTTTCCATTCATTCCATTCACATGTGACCTAGCGTCTCAGAGCTCTTGTGGCCTAAACAACTATTTAAGTGTTCACACCCACGCAGTGTAGAAAGCCTGTGACTCCCCACCAATCAGTGAGAACGGAAGAAGCCTCTAGGATGAGAGGTGAAACATCTTCAAGAAACTCAAGCAAGTCCAGCTGCCTATGATATAGGCCTAGTACTCAGAAGCACTTTTAATGGACAGAAATTGATGGTGCACAATGGCATGATGTGCATATATAATTATAACAACAAGCCGAGGATCACAACTGTGCTCCAACAGCTCAGTTAACAGAAGAAGGACAAAGCCCTTTTTAACCAGGTACACAACACACCGCCAAAGGAGATCAGAATAGCAGAGAGAAGCTTCACTGAAATGTTGAAAAACAGGCTAAAAATGCTGTGGCAGTGAAGTAGTGTCTTCAGGGCATCACTTGCTACAGTGGATCCCTCCCCCCATACTGTGGTGAAGCAACAACTGGCTTATCACCTGACTGTAGGTTTAACAAAACTCCACCCTATACCTGACTCAACACAGACAGATCAGGAAAGGCTGCCTGTCCTTTCACCTGAGCACACACACTCACACTAACAGACAAGTAACATAAAATTCACTGAGACAAAAACAACAACAGGAGAATTCTGGGATACTGCATCCTCAGCCAGTTAGTGACTGCAGACACTGCTTGGAGTTTTACAGAATAAGGTAACCACGTGATTCAAGTTACTTAAGGGAAACATTCCAGAGGAGGGAGTATTGCCTGTGTTGTGTTTTTGCTTCACTCCCAGAGGAAAATGGCTTCTTGTTCAGTGAAGGATCTCTGCTGCCCTGTGTGCCTTCAGATCTTTAAGTGTCCTGTCATCCTGTCATGTGGCCATAGCTTCTGTAAAGCCTGTCTGCATTGCTGGTGGAAAGAGAACAAAACCTGTGGATGTCCAGTCTGTAAGCAAAGATCTTCAAACACTGAGCCAACATGGAATTTGACATTGAACAAATTGTGTGAGGCCTTCTTACTGGCGAGAGATGTGAGCGCTTCATCAGGCTTTGAGGCTCTCTGCAGTTTGCACTCGGAGAAACTCAAACTTTTCTGTCTGGACGATCAGCAGCCCGTGTGTCTCGTCTGCAGGGATTCGGAAAAACATGCCAGCCACAAATTCAGACCTATTGATGAAGCTGCACACGACCTTGGGGAGGAACTCCAGAAATCTCTGAGGCCATTCGAAAAGAAGCTGTCTCTTTTTATTAAAGTCAAACAACACTGGGATCAAACAGCACAACACATTAAGGTCCAGACACAAAACACAGAGAGGCAAATTAGGGAGCAGTTTAAAAGGCTTCACCAGTTCCTAAAAGAGGAAGAGGAGGTCAGGATAGCTGCTCTGAGGGAGGAAGAGGAGCAGAAGAGCCAGGTGGTGAAGGAGAAGATGGAGGCTGTGAGCAGAGAGATAGAAAACCTTTCAGACACAGTCAGAGGTGCAGAGGAGGAGCTGAGAGCCTCAGACATCTCATTCCTGCACAACTACAAGGCCACAGTGGAAAGTGTCCAGCGGCGCCACCTACTGGATGATCCACAGCTGCTCTCGGGTGCTCTGATAGATGAGGCCAAACACTTGGGCAACCTGACCTTCAACATCTGGATGAAGATGAAGGACATGGTCTCCTACACTCCTTTTATTCTGGACCCAAACACCGCTGGTTCATACCTCGTCCTGTCTGAAGATCTGACCAGTGTGAGAGCTGGGGATGGACAGCAGCTTCCTGACAATCCAGAGAGGATTAAAGATTCGTGCTCGGTCCTGAGCTGCGAGGGATACAACTCAGGAACTCACATCTGGGACATAGAGGTCGGGCAGAACACAACCTGGGAAGTGGCTGTGTTTGAAGCATCTGCCAACAGAAAGGAAAGCATTAACTCTGGATTATGGAGAATAGAGCTTTTTAATGATAAATACAGTGCATACTCCCCATCAGCTAAAGATCCTGTTACTGATATCCAACTGAGCAAAAAACTTGAACG